CCCCCCCTCCCAACACTGGTTCACATACACCCTAATATCATCACTGTCATGGATTCCCGGCATAGCTGCGCCCAGTCCCTGTAAAATCACTAACATGAGATAACCAAACCGATAGCCCGGGGAATTTAAATATTCTTAATAATATAATTAACAAATTTATTGCTGACGACCGTGACTCACCTGATGACTCATTAATACTTTATCGGATTGAAACCTAACAACATTCACTTTTAGGCGTGCTTCCTCCGAAATATGTCCACGAAATCCACTCTTTCTCATCAAATTATCTATTGTTTCCATATGGCCCCATCCTGCAAAAAAGCATACGAACAGATGACCATGATCAACAAATGATCACCCTGTTTTACTTAAAAAACTGGATAAATTGTAGTTCATAGACTGGTTCATGCATAAGATTTTCCATATGAATAGCAAATATTCATAAGAAATTTCAGCTGCTGTTTTCCGGCAAGTTTTCGAGTTGGCACAGTGCCAACTGCGAAATTTGACATACGGTACAAGAGTGTACGATAGCTGAATTTGAAATCTTCAGCTTACACATACACAGAGAATATCTCTGCAAAGTTTCAGCTTTTTATCTTGTCTGGATCACGAAATCGTATCCCGCTAAAGAAATATGTATACTTTTCCGGAGGTCCCTATGCGAGATCCAGGAGCGTATGAGCAATGATTTTAAAGCGGAAGGGTGCTAAATGAGTGGGGATGCGACCACAAAATTTCAGCCTCCCTGATTGCTGAATTGAAAGTGGGTGACAAAGTTCATTCGTATTCGAACACACGCACACACAGACGACTTCTCGACAATGTGCTTTTGACCACTGTAGCAGCGCTAAAGTGTTGCATAGCAAAAACGCTTAACAATTTGCTATTCAGCAATCAATAACCTTGTTCACTGGCCACTTCTGGAAGATAGACGGCATCCCGGTAGTGATGATTATCTTGAAATTCAATCCTGTAAATCATAACTTTAACAATTTTTATAAAAAAAGATGAATGATCTGGATTAGCATGGGAAAAACCGTTAAGATTACCTAAACTGCTCGGACAATCAGTGTGAGAATTTGATGTTACCGGGTTGCTCGTAAGCGCCGGGAATAGCTTTGCCTAGGCTCTTTGGTTTTGAGTTATGTTTCCCATTTGTATTTGCTACTTACTGTCTCTTTACACTGATCCCTTATCATC